GGGTGTGAAAAATCGGCGGAAACTTTTCGGACAACCCAATACCTTTAACGGAATAAAAAAAGGTAGGCATTGTAAAGCATAAATCAGGAATATAAATAAGGGCTACACAGTATAAAGGTACAGAAGTGCACAGCACACTACCAACGTAACTGAAATATTTTACCTCGTAGTAATGCCGTAATAATGCCACTATAATCGCACACGACAGTAGGATGACTGCTCGTAGGTGTTTCTAGAAGCTGGTCTATGCAAGCATTATCGACTTATGAACCCATCGGAAGTTTATGAGATTTCTAGTAGTGCCTGATAAGGACTACGGTAGATAAAGTCACTATTTCTCTGTTTAACCTTCCCAAGTGCTCGTGTACTTGTTTTACCTCACTTCTAGTATATTGGTTAGAGTTTTCATATTGATTGTTAGTAGTTTTGTTGGGTACGAAAATGTTTTTGACCCCTTCCCGATTTATTGTTAATTTTTGATGTTGATGTTAACGATTTTTGGTTCTACGCTTTTATGTAATCGATGACTATCCACTATACTCCTGGCAAAGCTTGGCAGCTTCGAGTTCTTGAAAGGGCCCTAAATGCAGCACGATTCACCGACTTGCGGGGTATAAGTGGACGTCCGACGCTGGCGTCGATACTATGAATGCAACACACAGCGATTCGAAAATCCTAGCGAACGTAAGATGGGACCGGAACCCCCCGTTTTCCGACGTGTCGAAATAAATGATGACCACGTAACTTCGTATAATAAGGATAAAGGATAAAGTTCTTGGCGTTAATCAATCCCGTCTGAGGGATGCGCCCCCGCACTCGACTTCCATTCCATAGTGGCGTGATGAGTGCGTATGTGGCCTATACAATGACTTGCGGTGGCCAGCCGATGTACAAGTCAGTGCTTTTATCCTCCCAGACGAGTCTGGTACCAATTCACCGACCCCGGAGGGATGGAAGGCTTGGTTGGCCTAGGCGGGCATCGATCCGGGATTCGAACCCCGTTATAACTTCGTATATAACTGAAAAACAGAACGCAATGAAGGGTTCGAGGCTTGCCCTAAGCAGTACTTTCTTTTAAGTAAAGTGATTAAACAAATTTCGTAATTAGAAACCTTGAAATCAGCCTCTGCTGAATCCCTAAAATATAAGAACCGACCTGTTTGCCACGTGCACATAATGACTTTCTGAACATAGAAATTGACTTCATAATCGACATATTTTCCATCTCATACCAGCAACACGTCTTTCAGAACCATACTACGGCGAACGGTCGTCGTATTGACAGCAATTTTCTCGGGTCTATGCTTTTTGAAACCAACCTTGAATGCTATTGCCTTGATGCTGTTCTCCGTTCCAGCCGCTCTTGTAATAGACTACGAAGGCAGGCAGTAAGTTTGATGCTGTGACGCTAGGCAGATAGATGCTAAATGGTTCCAAAGCAATCGTTTATTATTTCCAGCTCGGGAATTCCGGACATCGAAAATTTTCCGCGGCGAATTCTCCTCCTGTGGTTCACATCATTCAGTTTCTGGTTTGCTGACCGACTTTTTTGCGACGTTTGGCTCTGGCTAGGTAATTCGCCCATACTACATAGTTCTTGTCAATAATCCATGACCCATGTAAATTTTTTATGGTATTTAGGTGCTCCATATCTACATGCGCTCTTCCATTTGCTAGCGGGCCTTGCTGGTTATACAGTATTTGTAATGTTCTCTATGATTGATATCGAGACAAGGAATTCATGTCACAGGTACATAAAAGGGGAAAAGGATAAAGTTTTCGGCCTTATTGAAACCCGTCTGAGGGATGCGTCCCCGCATTCGACTTCTATTCAGAATCACAGTAGCGTAATGAATGCCTATGGGGTCTTCACAGTGGCTTGCAGTGGCCAGCCGATGTACAAATCAGTGTTTTTATCCTCCCAGACGAGTCCGGTACCAACGATTTGACTCCAAAAGCTTCGTTGGCCTTGGCAAATATCGATCCGGATTCGATCGCGTGAGCGTGCGCCTTGATAATGCGCCACTTGCCACAACACCACCTCCACCCAGGTCCATTAGAACCGAATACTTTTAGCAGATTCGCAAAATCATGGTTTTCGGAATACAGCACACGGGGTCATGTTAATCAGACCTCTATAGTATGTACCTTCGTTACTACGTAGAAATAGCACCAATGTAGCTAGGTCACTCGCTGTATCAGGGATAGCCCCCTGATCATGGCTCACTCCCACATGACAAACATGTACGTCTTTCCTTTGACCACCTCCTACCTCACCAATGTTCTTTCCCTGCCAATCAATGAAAAATATCGAATAATAATCATCTATGGCAAGCTGGCTAGGAATAATGTAAGCATTTTTGGCGATTTCCATTTAAGTGGCCTTCTTTGATTAAAATTATGTCTGGATCAATACAAAGCCTGACAAAACTCTCCATCCCCCTGAGTATTTGTGCTGGACTCGTATGAAGGTAGTAAAGCACCGACTTCTACATCCGCTGATCATCTCTAATCGTTGTGTAGACCACATACACATTGTGAGCGCTACTTTGATTTTAAGTCGGTTTCGGTCGGATTCCTCAGACGGGATTGACTAATGTCAGTAATGCCAAAAGGCTTCATCCTTTATTCATTTATTTGCTGAGAATGCATAAAATTCCGCATTTTCCGCAAAATATTCTAAAAATATTATTTCAGGTTCACTGCAGCAGTCCGGTACTTTCCGCACAAGACCGGATCTCTACTTTCGTTTCCTTACATATCCCTCAGAGAAAAGAGCCGTTGATCATTGGTTACGGGAGGAAATCGTTGTTGCAAAGTCATGGCTGTTGTATAGGTCTCGTTGCCCATAATTTCTTGGCATTCGCGGTCATCTGTACTGCCAAATTCTTGAGATATGGTTCTTTCTTTTGTAATATACTCCCTTCACTGATCCTCTCGTCACACGATTACTCGGTGTTATTTATAACTATTCACGATGTATTCTGCAATTATGTACCAACTTGCCCCTCTCCACTCACGCCGTGCCCCTTACCAAGGTCTTTTCCGATGCTTCGTCCACGTCATGGGTAGCTGAGGACGTGTGACGCACGCGGTGGGGTAGTCTGGCTGCTTTCAGAACCCGCCGGCCGGCGGCGGCGCAAGCCACTTGTTGACAACACTGGCACGTGATCCATCGGCGTCCAGTTTCTTCTACAAGTGGCTAGCGCCGCCGCGCTCGCAGGGCCGGCCAGCGGATTCTAGGAGCAGCCTCCCTCACAACTAAAGATGTTGTGGAGCAGACTAACAATGGGTAGTTATAAATAGCCTTCCATTACTCGGGTAAAGCTGACTCAGATTTGCAATGAGGGCAAGAACTACAAAAACTACATCCACATAATCATTTCCCTCCAATGGATTCTCGAAAAAAATTCATTCAAGAGTGCCTACTCTGGACGCGCTACGCTGCTGTACTCGTCGTAGCCTCATAACTTCCAATGGCTTCCGTTAGTGAATACTTTTAGCACTTCCTCAGTGGCCTTTCCTGTTTTGTAGCTTACTTCATGGCTTCTGCCTACTCAATTAACCACATGTACATTGAAGCTCTCTTCCGTCTTTCTCTTTTGTGAGAAGAACGTAGACCTACGGACCAATGTGCATCGCGATTCCGCCAGCTTCACACTAATCAAAAGGCATGAGCACGATTTAGCGGTTAATCTTCGTGATACATTATTTTCATCCTTCTTGTTCTGCTCTGTGTAATCCTTTTCAACTCATTGAAAAGGCATTTTTCTCATGGTTTGCGCTCACATTGTTCAGTACGTATAGTCCTTTTATTTGAAAGAAGTACAATAGAAAACCGAAATTAAACAAAAATAAATATCTCTCGTTATCTTAACACATTTAGTATTTGCATGGGAAAGAGATGTTACGATTACGATTTAATCACTAATTTTCACGTCATTAATTATCCGAGAAAAGGCCATAATCACGAGCAATATCGGGACTATAGGGCAAACTTAAAGTCACAACTATCGCAGCTAACTTTTTCCACCATATCACAAAAAAGCAGGTCAACGTCAAGTCATAAGTCGTTATACCCTGACGGTATAATTAGTAACAAAAAACCAACTGGATTCTGAGAAACAAACGAGGAATAAACGTATGGCTACCCAAGCAGTTCCACTCCACTAAGATCCCCGAAGCACGGAAACGACGAGAAGTTTCTAAGCAAAACTTTTTTCCATTCTCATTCCCCCACGATATCGTACATATAATTCAGTGAAAATCATCCATAACTACTGTCTAAGATGTGGATGCGTTCCCTGGTGGTGAATATGGAACAACCAAGTTTTTACTAAAGTTACGAATTTGCTCCGCACCACGTACTTCCTCGTCCAACAATGGCAATTTGGTGATATGAAAATCTTCGTATAAATCGGCAATCTGGAAAGCGCATAAAACACTTAACTATACCTTTTACATAGCCTGTAGAAAAGCAATAGACATATAAAAAAAAGTTTGATAACAGATGAAAGACAGTTTAACTGAGTATACTTTTGAGGAAATCGCAAGTAGCACCAATAACCCCCTCTCTTTTAGTAAGAACGGGAAAAATTCAACAGTCACACCTTATCGACACTTCTCCCTATCATTTCAAATACCTTCAGATTCTGGGAAGAGAAGTAACTAATGGGAAGTGAAGGGTGGTGGCGATAACAGTACATAATTAGGTAGAAAATAATATTAACATACATAATCATACACGAGGTACAGGCTAGATGACTACTGAAAAACCCAACCCACTGGCATTGCCGGAGGGGCGCCTCGCGCTTCATCATTTGATTTTGAATTGCAATGACTTGTTCGAATGGCATTAGGATCAGTCACCTCGATCAATACTGGGAGCCTGGGGGCTCCTCCAACCGAACAAAAGGCGATATTTACCATCTAGCAGCTCTCGCGCGCTGAAGCGCCGGCATGCTCCGATGGAACGTGCTGGTTACAGGTCTCTTCGCGAGCACCGTATAAATGGCTTGGACAGGGAAATTTATCGTCGTTGCCGCTATCGACCTATGCGACTTCAGTGACGTATTCGCCATTCTACGGCCCTTCTGAACCTCGTCGACGCCAGCACGCTGATTCGAGTTGATCCCTGTCGCTGCTAGTTATAGTAAAGCATTATTCTACCGGAGCGCATTCTACCGGTTATGTATATACCAGGACACCTAAATATACCAATCAACAACCTAGTGAATAAGACATGTGAAAGTCTCCAAGACTGAGTAAGCTGAAATCACAAAAACGAAGGTCACAGAAGAGAGCATATTGAGACTTAGGAATTAAAGCTGGAGCTGCTGGTGATTAAGGTCCCACTTATTCCAATTATTCATGCATTTCAACAGAGATTGTATTCCTTCAGAGGCTACTGAAAATGTTCTTCGCTTACAAGGTTGACGTTTTTTGGAGACAACCTCTCCCGTTCCTCGCGCTGTGTATTACCGCAGCAAGAGGCAAATAAGGGCAAACTATAAAACTTCCACCTAAAGTTCTACCTCCTACTTCTCTACCTTTTAGCGCTAGAAGCAAACGCATATAAGCAGGAAGAATAATGTTTGAAACAATCTCAAGTTAAAAGTTGACAAAAGCAGAACTTTTAAAAGAGCGATGAAGGAGAGAACATGCCTGTTCAAGGTATTTTGACTGTACTCGGAACCTTGCTTGGCATTTCTTGCACTGAACACCGCCTTCAGAGTTATCCGGAAAGATCAACTGATTCACTATTATGTTATGAGTGTCGATGCCCTGGAATTGATGCAAGTAAATTGCAACTTATTAATATATATATATGAACCTTTTACTTTATAAAAAGTTGGTATGAACGCTGACCTGTTTGGTGAGTTCTTGAATGAGCCGTTCTGTTTCGTATAATGACAAAAATTCCGCGATACATACGCAAACAAATGTGGTGAGATCCTCGAATGCAACTAATGAAAATCAGCATAAACAAAAGAATGAAAGGGAATTTCAACTTACAGGATTTTTGAACTCCGCATTCATTTGCTTAACCTGATCTAAGGTCTCCTTGAACTTTCTCAATGTATCATCGATGGATAGCTCACCCATTCCAAGCAAACCAGATAGCTAAAAATGTTTAAATGTGGAATAAAAACCACAAAACATAGAAAGAAGTGATGATGCGCAAGCCCTTACTATCATAATGTCGTACCACATTTGTAGGGTTATAAGTCGAGCAATAGGGGCAACTCAATAATGTGAACTTTGTGCACGAGTTAAAAAAAAGAGTTCATGAAAGAAAAAAGAACGTGACAAAATCGTGGAGTCCAAAACTTGATCAAAAATTACCCAGAAGATTTTACTTTGAAACATATATTCCTAGAACATTAGATAAAGCATGAGCTACGATCATGCAGAGCGCTCAAGGGAAAGAATGATTATCGATCAGGCGTTAACACGGCAAAAGATATTTTGGAAATAGTATACTGATTTTAAAAAAACCGAGGTAAATTTACCTGTCCTAGCATAGGAGCGAAAGATGACTGAAGCGACAGAATTTTCGTGAACGCCTTTTCAAGAATTACGGGAAACTGAAGCAGGCGGAGAGTATGTCCGGTTGGTGCCGTGTCAAAGACAACGACATCAAAATCAAGGGAATTGATCAACCTGAACGAAAATGAAGTTGGACTGATATAAATAGTCAAACGGGGCCATTGTTTACTCAAAGTCTGAAAAGGAATTACACGTTCTAGAATGCGTCAAAGCAGCAGAACACTGTAACGGCAAGCAGTTGTTTTAATGAGAGAGAGCAGAGGTGTGAGGTAGAGGTGATTGTATTCAAAACTAATGGGAAATCAACCTATTCGCTAGAAATTTGACCACTAAGAGTTCGGCGGAATTTTTGAGCCTGCTTCTTGACAGGAACCTGCCTTTTGGTCTTGCAATGAGTTACCCAGGCTTTTACAGTGTATGCGCAGCTGCATGTGATTCTGTATCGTCGCATAACTGCATTCACAAGAAGACCGAAAAAACTACTGACCATAGAGAGAGGAAATTTGATCACATGATGGTTGATTCAGACAAGTACAGGGATTGGGTATGAACCACAACAGTCTGAAATAACTTATGTCCTGACCTGTCCCTCAGATTGAGAAATTGGACGTCATTACTGCTCGATGAAAGTGTTCAGTTAGTCTACTTGGACCCTTAGGCAACTCAACGGTTTCTCATTCGAAAATCCACATATTGAGAATTAATGCGGAAAGGAAGAAGAGAAAAGGTTGGAACGTTAGAAAGTAAGACAAACTTGAGCATCTCAGCAAAACTCATAGCTTCATCAATTCCCGGCATTCCACCGACCATACTGTGCAGTAGTTCTCGTCCCATTGATGCTATTCCGCCTAGAATGAGCCTTCATTCTTTGGCTATATCAAATAACGAACAAAAAAAGCGTACCATTAGCGTCCATGAGCTGATCTAGGCCGGGGAGAGTGGAACCTTCCACTGGATTAGAATCAATTTCCTAAATTCTATCACCTGAAATCGGATGACAAGAAAGGCAAGGAAAGCAGATTACCATGGCTGAAAGATTGGTGAATCCCGAGACCCTTTGCGGTGTCTTTGTAAATTTCTGGTTGAACGCATCAGAAATGTTGTGGGCAGGATCAGTTGATATTAGCAGAACACTACGTCTTTTAGCAGCAAGTTGTACTGCGATCGAGCAGCTGAAGAGTCAATTATTTTAAAAATTGAACTAACGAGGTGGAAAACAATAGAAGAAGGCAGCTGGAACATCATACCTGCATGTTGTTTTGCCCACACCACCTTTTCCTCCTACGAAAATCCATTTGAGACTGGATTGCTCGACAAGATTCACGACCGAGCCTTCTAGTTCCTGACTAGCCATGGAGCTATGGAGATAATAGGATTGGATTTGATCAGATTCAGTGCTCGACAAAGGCGATGCAACGTTTACGAATACCTTTGGGTTACGGGGCTGTTGTCAACCGAAATTTCTCTCGCTGTGAGAATCAGACGGAGAAACAGGCCCTGCGTGTCGCATGTGGGATTTCCCCGACCTGCGTGCCGCGATGGTGATTGGAGCGCGCAATGTGACGTATGAGTTTATCAAGTTTATGAAGTTTTATCAAGTTACAAAGGCTATTCTTCAAATTGATAGAGGACAATAAAGGAATGGAAAATAAGGATGAATGTGGTTTCGATCACAGAGGGTTTATTGGTTGACCATAAAGAACGGGGAGGTAAGGCCTGATCTTCCCTGCAATATCAACTAAATGATTGCTTAAAATTTCCACCACTGTAACTATGTGATCTTGGAGGAAATTCATGCATTTCTGTTGTTAGCGGCTTCTTCCTTATGTGAGTGAACAAAGGGATGTGTGAAAAAATTGAGGATCTGCAGCAAATTACCAAAGAAGGTAGTTTGGTTACCATGAAAGTACCACGGAAAGGCAGATAAAACGAAAGTTTCAAATGCTGTTTACTAATATCGAAATTGAAAATGAAAAATGGCTTTTCCGAGAACATTATGGAGATTCGAGTTGGCTTGATGGTGAAGTTAGTCGGAAATGCGATTCTGGCGCTTCCCTATCAAGCTTCAATATGGAACAGTATGAAACAGCGCTCTGGATTCACAGACGGGGTTTGTTTCCTGCCAACGACGAGCTTTTTGCACAATGTGCTCTTTCGTTTCATTAAAGGCCTTTGCGCAGGAGCCTTCACAAATTTTCTTCGTTAATAATTATATGAATATGTATATAAAACTAATATAATAGTTCAAAGGCATGTCTCCATGTACGAATGGCTAGGAGGAGGCCACCAGAGCTGCCTCTAATCCAGAGTGGCTTTAGCCGCGACTCAGGTAAAGACAGCCAAAACCATCTCTGTCGTCAACTGCTATTCTCCACATTCTACAGGTGACGGAGTAAAGCTTGATGCACCCTACGACCTACTTTAGGAGATCATCCACAACGAAAAGTCCTTCTACAAGTTCGTTGTTGGAGATTTCAAAGCTAGGCTTGGCGAAGCACAACAGGAAGAGTTCAAGATTGGAAAGTTCGGAAAGGGGACGAGAACGAGATCGGAAACCGTCAGCTGGACTTTCCGTGGTTCGACTATTCCATGGCAACTCTTCCCTCTAGAAGAAAGAACATCGCTGCTGGATGTGGGAGTCTCCAAACAGTACAAAACATGCTGAAATGAACCACATGCTGACGAACAGAAAGTGGTGCTTTATATATGTTCATATGGTACCATCTTTCTGCAATGGCTTTGAAAATCGCTAAGGTCACATTCAGCCACAAGCTGCAAAAGACCTCTCAGCATTGCACAAAGAGTTCGAAGGAGGTTGCATACAAAGGAGATGTTCTGAATTACGCTTTGTCCCGATATGACTGGCAGCTCATGAATGTCCCGACCGAAGACTACGATGCGATGGTTCGAGATCTCCTCACTTGTGCTGAACAGGCCATGTTTCCTCGAGTGGATTCCTCCGTTCGCATTTCGGATGCTACAAAGGAACTTCGAACTTCGACCAGAATGCCACACATCTCACATAAAATGCTGCAAGCAAGCATCAAATGCAGAGAGCAGTGCGCGAGACCTTCAGCTATGCAGGGAGAGGAGAATACTGGAGGCAGCCTTGAACAGAGATAGGCTGTGAAAATGCCATCGGCATCTTCAGCACCACAGTATTTCACTTTCATGCTTGAAGAAGGATGAGAGATCACTTACAAAATCGAGGTTTGAGATGGAGGAAGTCACCCAGAGGTTGTACACAAACTTGTACCGATCTACGACATACGCACGAAACCAGAATTCCCTACTGGTGGAATAGCACCTCGAATCTTTCTTCCGGAGGTGAGAGTTGCGATTGCGATCATGAAAAGGGCCACTACTCCAGGCTTCGACGAGATCTCAGCCGACCTGCTCTATGCACCCTTTGTTGACTATGAAAAGCTTTTGGCGGCGTAGAAACGAATGCGGTCGATCAAGGGGTGGACGCGAAGCTCTTCACAGCCGCGCTGCATATTGGGTTATGATTTTGCTAGGTTGAGACGAAAACGGCATTCGTATAAATGGACGATTTCCTCTAAGTCTCCGATTTGACACATATGACACGTGACAACATCGTTTTCTTTTCAAGCAGCATTGCGGAAGCTGTGACTATGCTTGCTGAGCTAAATGAAGCGGGAAAAAAGGTAGGACTGGAGAACATCCAAACAAGGACACAGTTCATGAAGAATGCTTGGAATGGGCATGAAGGAAAAGCTGGTGAGACGGCAGAAAGCAACATAGGCAACTTTCGGACCTCTGGAAGTAGCCACCAGCCATCCGGCTGATCCGGAACTTCGTCCTAGTCTGTTTGATTTCACAGTTATCCCTGTGCTCTGTTAGGGGTAGGACGCTTGGGCGACCAGTGCCCACGTTAAGGGCTCAAGCATAAGTCACAGAGCACTCGAGCGATGCCTTGAGGTTCTAATGGCTCATCCATTATCTAGCCGGAATCTGCAGCTCCGATATGTGAAGAAAGTTTCCTCTTAGCTATCCGGTGGAATACCTGAAAAACGCCAAAGTACTGTGGGGTGGTCATATCATGAGAAGACATGAGGACAATTGGACAAAAGGAACAGTCGACTTTGCTGCCGTAGGATCTCCGACAAAAAGAGCTAAGTTACGATGATCATCACTATCGAAGTGGTGATTAGTGCCGAATGATGAATATCTGTGTAGCAAAACCCAGATTTCTCTAACTGCTTTCCGTGAAGGTCTGATTGCTCAGGAGATTTATCGACTACTGATTAAGCAAGCATGCTAATAGGATCACAAGGTAATCTATTTGATACTATTTGTTTCCTACGTGGTTACGTCGGATAGGCCCATAAAATGGGCACAGATCTAAATGCCAGTATGGACTGCTGTGAAGATTGAAAGGATAGACTATTACGTGGGCTCCGATGGGAAAAAATAGAGAGCAGTATCTATTGGTAGTTCGAGAGTTCCTTTCAATCGTAAATGGAGTGACAAGCCCCAAGCCAACCAAAGCAGCTCACAATACTTGCTTTTCCCCTACATTCTCGGCACCATGAAATGAATACTTCAAATATGGGTGTTTAACCGCCACCCTGCACACAACTTCATTCCTGTTATGCTGCTATGGCGATGCTCCTCCCCTGTGTGCCACAGGGCGTTGCAACCCCTGTGGCACACAAGGAGAATCACTACGATGGATGGCGCAAACTCTCTAATCGAATTGACGGCGATGAGATTTTAACCACTGGGACCCTTCAAAATTTATTCATCAAGTATACCGATGTCGACTTGACAATGATAGATACCTCCACGTACGGCTCTTGATGAACCTCGGCATATTATCGAAATAACTATATTTATTTATACAACTCCACACGAGGTTACAATAACTTAACGGCTAACGTTTCGGTGAAACCGCTTTGGTCGTAGCCTGAAAGGATGGAATGAATTTGTGGAATTACCCGATCCAACATCTCCACCCCCCACAACACCTTCGAGAAAAACTTGATCATCATGCAATTCTAGGTGAATAAAAAGTCTGAGGAGAGCGGTTCTTGAAAGCATTGTTGGTATTGTCGAAATTCCACCTGACAATCTAAAGCGCCGTTTAGTCCGAAATCGCATGTACGATTGCACATGTGCAACACCTATTTGAGTGGTCTGTCCTAATGGCAGAGAGGGTGACTGTAGCGTTAGTGGTGTGCTCTACAAAATCACTTGCCAAAACTGTGGAGATACGTATATAGGAGGGACTGCTAGAAGAACATTTAAATAGTAAGGCTGGGTCGCTCCCTTCAACTGCCTTAGGTTGCCACAGGACACAAACTCACAATGGGGACGATACAATGGGGACGATTTCGGGGTCGCAGTCGAGGTCTTGGCGCATGAGACAGAAACAGCCCCGAGGAAGACCCTAGAGGCATTTTGGATCCGGGTCATGGATCCAATACCGAAAGGGGGAGTGCGTGTCATTTAAGCGCGAACTCACCCCCTACATAAGGCTAGCCCTTCACCGTGAATTTTGAACTAGAGGCAGCCAATCTAGGTCGCTCACAAGGGCCGGTTCTGCTCATCAGAGAGGTACAGTACTTCTTGTTCACCTAGAATAGCATGATGGTCAAGTTGGTCTCGAAGATGTTGTGGGGGGTGGAGATGTTTGCTCGGGTAATTTCATAAATTGATTCCATCCTTTTAGGCTCCGACGAAGGTGGTCTCACCGAAACGTTAGCCACTAAGGTAATATAACCTCGTGTGGAGTTGTATAAATAAATAAAGCTATTTTGATAGATATCTCATCAGCTTATACGATATGGCAAGAACGAACTTAAGCGCTTACTCATTCATTATTCTATGGCACAATTACAAGAGCAATAGACTGCGACTAATGTAATAATCAACGTAAGGGTGTTAATAAGGTTTATGAAAAAAAATAAACCAACATTAACTATTAAACGGAAGGGAATAACGTGATACTCACAATCTAGGTTCAATGAGTGTACCAAAATTCCTACCGGTCATGCAAGACTTCAGCTCAATATGGTCTCCATTCTGGCTTGCTATCATTAAGGCCTCTTACGGCACTACGTGGTTATCTGTGTTCCTCATCTGTGCCCTCGCTATCACTGGCTACCCGTCCTTATGCGAACCATTGCTTCGTCAGGTGCCAGGTGACATGGAAACACATCGAATGGAGGTGAGTGCAAGAGTATGAGGCACGATGGAAAGGTTGTCTAACGATGGCGGTGAAACGGTTGACTATGCAACTAATGAGGCAATGAGCACTGGAGCTATGTGTCACTGGAATGCTTGTCGATTGCAGCCGATTCGACAGTGGTGAGCTCCTCGAAGAATGTTCACCCTAATTGACGTGTTGCGCGACCAAGAACGCCATTCATTAGAGTCATGCGCAAGTCACGACAAAGGGGGGGGGGGAAACTTGGTGAACCAGCGAACTCTGAATCCACTCAATGAATNGTCGTGGGCGCCGTTGAAAGTTTCAGGAAGGTACATTTTGCCAATATTCTTTATGCGATCGGAAATGGTGCAGTGCGGAAATGGTGTCGTAACACTGCCCTCAACAATGATTTGGATGGAATTCGGTAAGACAGTAAGGAAGGACGACAGTAGAGTCAGTATATTATTTTTGGGGTATCTCTTTACCGACTGTGACAGCGATTGAAAGCTTGTGTGATCCCGGGGGGTATATGGTTTGGTATTACATCGCAAATCCTACGATATTAATACTTAGGAGCTCTTCTTTCTTATAAACACACCGCAGCATTTGATTGATATCCAACACATTTGAACACACTACATATAGGAATTAATGGCAGAAGGACTAGGACTTCGTATCGTGGGCAGCAATCTGTTCCTCGTGCGAGAATTCGATGCCACTGGCGATCGTGCACAATATCTTAAGGTTCGAATAGGTTCTATTATTGTTATCGATTCTCCATGGAGAAGGCTTGTAATAATTTTTTGAGAATGATCTTGTACACTTCGAGTCCTGGTAAACAAAGTACTCTGGGAAACAAAGTGTGTTGAAATGATAATGGACCTATTCGGAAGACAAAATATTCACAATATCTACTGGAGTTTTCGTCTTTCCTACGGTACCTTTAGTCGTGGAAGTTATAGTTATGAAGGCCTCTGTTTCAACTTACAATGAGACTATACTCAAATACCATTTGCTCTTATGAGAACCCGAGCGACGGAAACGTTGTCGCAGTCACATAATACAGTACAACAGAACCTAATTGAAGCACAGGTAGGCTATTAGAATAGGGCAATATATTTCACATGAGCCGCCCCAAAGAGTTGGAGGCAGCGTTATTACGGACATTAGAGAGGTAAGGGCCTTCTGATGAACCGGTAATTTCCGTTGTACGCCCTTTCAGGGTGCCTACATACTCGATGGAATGGTTTTCAAAGGGCCGGCAAAACACCTGGATAATAAATGTTGCAATAGAGAATGATACTTGTTCTGATAACACCAAGAGAGACGCACACGCAACAAACGAAAAGTTAAATGTCGAGCGCAGTCTAAGAATCTCAAAAAAAGGAAGCAGAGAAAATGCGTAACAGTGGTTGACGAGTGGAGCTGATCGATGATAAAGAAGCTGAGAACGATTCCGCTCTCAGAAGGCAGCCGGAAAAACGGAACACCACAGCTCAGCCTTGATCTTTTACCAACTCATAAGGTTTGTTAGAACAATGTTGTGAAAGATCGTAAGACAGCAGATACGTCTAATGTAGAAGGCAATCTGACGAATATGAGAAGGCGGCACCATTTGAATAATGCCGGATAGAGCGTCGAATTCATAATAAGATTGGCGTTATTGAAAGATAATGGAATGATGTGTGGACAAGCGAAGTTGCGTCATGAGAAAGGTAGAGGAGCAATACAAGAAGATATCAATGTACCTCTTGATTATAAAATTTTAATGAGGGCTTAATGAAACAGTAATGAAACAACTAGAGCTGGATGAGATGAAAAGTTCGACGTGAAATGAGCATGCAACGGTGTGTTTGCGTCAGAACGTTTTCTAGGAAGCTAGCGACGAGACCACCGTTTACAATATAACGGAATATTGAACTAGATTCAACTGTGAGCGAGTTATGAA